CACACACACACACACACACACACACACACACACACACACACACACACCTCTGATACCAAAAATACCCAAAGTGAGTGTGTCGCATGGTGGGTAATGTATAAACGCAAACGCACACACTAAAACGAACCACCCGAACATTATGCGGAATTTTCTCACACGCGGTTACCAATCTTCACTTCCCGCCTCCACAAATCTAACCATTTTATATTTTTCATTTTGGTCGCAATAAGTTCGCCGACAAAGATGAACGAATGACGACGCGAATGGTGTATATGCGTGTATTCAAGTGTGTGTGTGTGTGTGCACTGCGAATGGGAAAAAAGCTATCAACAACGACAAAAACAGCAGCAGCAGCAACAGGAACGAACGATGATGGTAAAAAACATAAGCCAAAATAAAACCAACACAAAAACAATTGTGATTACTACTCGCACACAAACAGCACGCGAAACAGCGGGAAAAATGTCGACAGCATATGAATTATGCTGAGTAATAAAGGAAAAGCATGCATTGCCAACCCGAATCACTATAGCACACAATAATATGTAGTAAAAGTAATTTTTCGATGAAAAAAACTGCGTCAACCACCATATGTGCCGCACATATATCGTTTCATTTTCTAAATATATTTTTTGTTTTGTTTTACATATAACGCACCCGTTCCTTGGGATGAATGTGTATAAGAATAATCGGTTTGTTTTTCATTCCTTATGCGATAACAACATGATTGAATGTTCGAAGCAAGCCGTGCGCATGAAATATAAATAAATATAAGCGAAGGCAAAATGAAGAAATTGTCTTTTTTATTCCCATTTATTTTGAATGAATGAATGATTTCCCCTTGTTGCCCGAATCTTTTCGTGGTGCCCACATTTCGTGTTCATTACAAGCAGCTCGTTTGATCGAGGCATACCAATCTTTTGCGGCGAAATAATGTGGTCCCTAAAAGAAACGTAAAAGTGAGATAGCAACAGCGACCGTCGCGTCGAGGATGGTGGAAAGATCAAGAGGAAACAATGATGTTTCAAAGTGTGGGTTTTCCTTTTGGCAACAAGCACTTTTCACAATTCTTCTTTTCTTTCCTTCTGACCAACTTCAAGAAAGTACTCCATATCTTATTTACCAGCTCCTTTTTGCAATGCAAAGAAAACGAAGATGAAGCATCCATTTTTTGGGGCACGCATATTTACTCGATGCCAGAAATTGTGGAAAATACTATTTTGCGATTTAGTGAATAAATCACGCTTTTACCACCTACAAAAAAATGCACGTAAACCATGAAACGATAGTGGAAAAAAAGTGTGCAATCAGAATTGGCTGAAGCGAAGGATGAAAGATGTGCTCGATGGATGTGTGCGAGCGAGCAAAGTGTGGAGAAATTCGATTCGAAAGAAAGCACACATAAGCCTCAAAATAATGATTGTAGGCGGAGTCACACACATTGGCCAACTCTCATCGACCGAACCAGAGGAAAAAACCGTTGTGTGTACACACAGCAACTCACATTTATGTGGTACACATCCTCGTGGATGAACACGAGCGCACAAGCGACAATAGCTGAACTTACGAACGCGACTAAAGTGCAAAATGTATATGTATACATATAGTCTGTATGTTATATATAGTAACAATAACCACCGCCAAAGTAGTACATTTTTTCCCGGCCACATCGTCGTCGTTCGGTGGTTTCTTTCGTGGCTTGCCACGACGTCCTCCGCAAACCTTTAAAACGTCTTCTTCATCGAAAGCAGCGGCCACATACAAAAAAAACCAATGATTGCGATAACACCGAACCAGAACACAATCATTCCCGAACGAACGAACGACAACGACGACAGCGACGACGTTGCCCAAATAGGAATAAGAACACCAAGAAAAACGCGCACCACCAAAGCGTTCAACATAGCGAGGAAGAGCTATCTGAAAGAGTGAACAAAAATGTGGAAAACACATTACGGCGGCAAATAAATTGATCCACACGCAAAACGGCTGTCGGTTATAGAGCTCCATATCGCTGGAATGATATTGCTTGTAAATTTAATGTGTCTACTTTGAGAGATCGTTGTACATCACGGTTTTTGTTTTGTTTCTCAATCGTAATACGATGTGCATCTCATGCGGCGAACAACGACTACACTCGGTCGCATCGTTCTCTATCCAACGACGCAATCCCATTTTTATTCGACACTGTCTTGGCAACAACGCGATATTCTGGAAACGCGAGCCAAGAAAGGTAAGGGAAAAATATAAGCAACAAAACCGAGACGTTCTCAAAACATTCTTTGAGCTTCGCACTTTATAAATGAGGGGAAAGGTTATATACATTATATCTTATTATTGCTCGCTCGTATTTAGATTCTTTTACGAATTTTTCTTTTTTCCCCATTTTTTTCGACAGCATTTTTCTCCCACTGAACACTTTTTCATGCCGTTCCTTTCGCAACGAAGCATCTTTTAACCTCGAAGGAGAAGTACTTTTATGCTTTTCTCAGAAAAAGAAATGGGTTACCGAGATTCTTTTTGGAATGCTGGTGTCATTCAATGACTGTTTCTTGTTATGAACATTTGAACTCAGCTCTTTTGTTCGATGGAATTTTTTCGATTTAGTCGATTCTTGAATCGATTTTAAGGCTCCCTTCGAAAAAAAAAAAAAAAAACAAAAATCACTGCATATTTGAATTCATTTTTTTATTCAAAAATTATTCAAGACACATAAATCTGGCGGCTTTAAACAATAAAATATCAAAAAATTGTTATATTTTTTTCTGGTGGTTCATCCAAATGACATAAAACATCACATTCGTTTCATTCCAAACTACAATGCGAATTTTGTAGTTTGACTGCTTTTTTTTATTCGATTCACCAAAAAAAGGTTACAGCTCCCATGTGTGTCGTATTGATGAAATTTGTTGCAACATTATCTAAAATACTGAGTGCCAATTTTCCGGCAATCGAAATTCGGTAGCGAGAAAAAATCGTGCGATTTTTTTTGGTTCGTTTAAAAGAGAGGGAGTTGATAGTGGGAGAATTGCAGTTTTTTTTACTCTGTGAAAAGTCGTGTTTGGGTCTGATGCACACATTTTCGGTAATGTCGAAAATCATCAAAACAAATTCGAATGAGAACAACGAACAAGAGTAGAGAAAGAGAGAAAAAACATGTATAGAAGAAGGAAAGGAAAGGTAGAGAAAGGGAGAGCAGGTGCTTAGGCGATAAAAAGCGATTTAATGATACGAGTCAAATATTCACTTCAACATTTAAAATATAACGAAAAAAATCTGCACTGGTCGCCATTAAATAATGGTAAACCAGTAAGGTTTTTACAAGTGAATTCAATCCGATGAGAATTAGAGTCTCCGTACGTTTATTTGTATTTTATTTTGGTTTTGAACATTGTTATCTTATATAATTATATCGTTCAACGCGCATCATAAAATTAGTAATTCATGCAAAATGATATGAAAAAAAAGATTTTCCAAAATGTTCAACATAAAAAAATCAAAACTCCATGATAAAAATCTTTCCATTTAAAATAAGGCCTCTTACCCTCTGTTAAAAATGTACAGCGAAAGCGAAAAAAATCAACGTTTTCGAGCGTTGCCAACAAATTCACGGTCGATGTGCTCTGCATTCTAGCCATATCTCCAGTGGGATCAATTTTATTGAAACATTAAGATGGAAATGAGATGATATTGAAATATTTATTAGTATGATTTCTGTAAACACATGTGAACTTTCTCCTTTCCCCCGCCTGCTGCTGCTAAGCAGTGCTGACTAAAGGGTCCGAAACACTCACGCAAAAAAATGTGCTCGTACAGCTGATGTAAGAGATGATTGGCGGTGGAATGATTAAACCGAAGCACCATTACTGTTTTA